TTAACAAGCAGGTGCTTGGGGCGGCCAAGGGAGAGGGGCGGCACCTGCGGCAATTCGGGGGCGGCAGGTCCCTCACTCCCTCTAGGAGCGAAGGACCTGCCGCTGAGCTGTCGCCGCCGATCGCAGCTGTTTTTTTGTTTTTTTTTTGCTTGGGGCAGCAGAAATGCTGGAGCCGGCCCTGGCATACAGAATGCCCTGGACTTATTTCCCCTCCAATAAATGCTGTCTTCTAAGGAGAAAACTCACTGCCGGTTAGGATGTTTGGCTTAAAAAGCGACCCTCCAATAGCAAATCAGAATGCGGGTCCTACAATAACACATCAAACTGGGGCGGGGGGTGTCCTACAGAAATAAGCCGACCATAAAAAAACAGGTTGAGTGGGTTCGTGTCCTACTGAAACAACCCTACAGCAACAGATGTGTGTGTCTAGTTTCATTCATTTTTTTACCCTTCCCCCTGACCATATTCAGCGGACTGTGCAGCTTCAGATAAATAAGTGTGCAGAGAGGCGTTTCGCAAGACTCTTTACAGTCACATGAAATCCTTAGATGTGATCAAATTAAACGTAACCACTTACATTCTTATCTCTCATCTTATCTCCTTCCCCCTGTGTTGTGCTGTACGCTAGCAGCAGTCTCATGATCTGTAATGGTTTGTGCTTTTCACGTCAGTCAGCTGCAGAGCTGCTGGCCTGACCGATGGGGCACGTGGGTTCCTTGCTGGAAAGGCAGCTTGTTTGCTTTGTAATTCAGCTGAGCGGGAGCTGTTAATACTACCGGAGCATAATAATACCTAATAATAATTAATATCTAGGCTTCCACAGTACATCAGCCGTAGATCTTCAAGCGCCTCATTAGGGATATTAAGAAACATTATTCCCAGAGGGAAACTGAGGCACCACTTAACTTCCTAAATCTGGTGTGTCTGCTACTGAGGGTCACTGAGTGGCATTTTCTGATGTGTTCCCCAGTCTGTTTCGCCTTTTGGGGGAATTGGATGGAATTTGGTTTTCTCGCAATAGCAATCAGCAGAGAATCCACAACCACTACAGGGGAGGTGGAAAGTTACCGAGGGCTTCATCAAACAGTGGAAACTTATCGCTTTATTTCAATATGGGCCAAATCCTGCTGCATCTGCCCAGGCAGCTATACCAATGCACTGGGTGAAAAGGAAGGATTCCTCTCTCTTTCCCTGAGAATTTGACAGAGATCCAGATTCATCTCCCCAGATTGGAACCTGCCCCTCCAGTTTTAATTCTAGGTCAGATCCAGGACTGGAAAAGGACCAATTGTCTCGCTTTAGTTAAAGATGTGAGTGAAATCTCGAGAGCAGTTTTTTTGAGCAAGATGGCAGAAATCTCACAAGAACACTCCTGATCCCACAATGCCAATCAAGGTGGCAAAAATCATCTCACAAGATTTTTAACCTCATCAGATCTGATCCCCTCAGCCTTGATTCCACCCTTTTCCTAAATCTAATCCTGCTTCTTCAGCAAGCAGGGACATCACAAAGGGAAACCCAAGGAAGGTGGACAAGCAGGATCAAACAACTTCAAATGTTGCCTTCGGCTGGGAAACACAGTGATCGGCGTCTGCAGAACCCCTTGGATTCCAACATGTTTCTGAACTGGCGCTGCTGGTCAAATGGACTTTCTGCAGGTGGCTTGCTTCTCACCCAAGAGCAGCCAGGTTCCTATCACGGGTCAGCAGAAGCCCTTGCTCACATGCTGAAACAGAATGCGCTGCACAGGCCGAGCGCTGGTATAAATAGACACCAGATGGTGGAACAAGTGAATTTGACCTTTTAATCTTCACTAAATAGCTGTTTGTTCAGTTCACTTTCCGTCTTTGCCTTCCAGTTCTTTTCTGTGTTTGCAGATACAGGCAGGAAATAAGATTTTAACCCCTAGCCCCACTGTGAGGTCTGCCAAACCAGCCTACCCCACCAGAGCATGCTCCTGTATCCTGCACCTTTGGGCTCAGACAAGATCTCATAGCACTCTTTGCAAGAATTGAAATGTAAACCCAGGTGTCTGAGCCATTTCAAAATAGATAATTATTTTCAGACCCTTCAAAATTTTCATTCTGGTTCCAGTCTCCCTTGTTACCTCATCCCCCTCCCGCCAAACCATTGCTATATTCTACTAAGCAGCTACCATATTCCACCCCAGAGTCAGCTGCACTTCAGTGGTGGGTGATGTGAACCCCTGGATGGTTTGCATATGCGTTCAAGTGCTTCGGGGAGCCTTCTGCTTTAAATTGGAGGTCATTATGCCAACTTCAACCCCAGTCTTGTGAAAATATGGAATCCTCTTCAGACGCATTATTCCACAGCTCTGTGGCCTTTTTATTAGGGTGCGCATTTTGACTTTACCTCGAGGCAGAGATAAAGAATTCTCACATTTCCCCTGGAACAATAACAGTAGGATGTTGCAAGTTGCATAGCCTGGTGTATGTTTCTTGCCTCAATAGTGAATTCTTTGCTGCATCTGCTCTGTGCTTTGCAACTGTATGTCACATTATGGAATTCTGGCCAGTCTGAATAAACAGGTCTAGTGAGTGTGCCCCTCACTCGTTCTGGTGCCTGCTAGAATGTAATGCACTGAATTTGACTAACGTGCATATTGCTAAAATTAGACGTCTGTTCGCGTGGCTAGTCTGTGATAGGATAATATGTTGCAGAATGATTTAAGATAACTAGGAATGTCCTGCTTATACGGCATTGGTTCAAGACAGCCCCAGTGCACCAATTAGTCTTTCAGAAGAGACATAAATCCAAGCTCCTGACCGCATTTTGCTAATTAGGAGTGGCACTGTTCATAAGAATAGGGATACGCTGACTGCAGTGTGTCAGCCACATTTCTGTTTAGTTAATTACGTTCCACCTCCTCAATCTTGCTGCTCCCTGCAGTTGCAGTTGATTGTGGTATTCTTCACTTCACTCCCTTTGGTACTGTGCAGTGTTGCTGATAAACAGCTCTCTCATTCCACCCCAGAGGTGGCTGCATTATCAGCAATGACTGATCTCCACACACAGTCTGTGACGTGCCTGGGGATCCTTGGGGATGAAAGTCATTTTGTACGTTATTTATACGTGAACGTTGCAAAGTGCATTAGAGGCGCCGTGTTGTGACAAGACCTCAGATCCACTGAATGTTGGGATGCAAGTGAGACGCCCATCATGGCCACTGATTTACATGTGTGCATTGGTGAGTCTTACTAATTTTCTAAGCAAATGGCGCTTCTGCTCCTCCCATGCAAATCACTGGCCCAGGAAAGGCTGTGAGCGTTGCGAGCTGTTTATTCCCCACTGAGGCAAAGAATTTGGTGCATTCCATACTACGGGATACTGTTCACTCTAGCTAGAGCTGCGATTGTTAAACTCACTGGTCTCAGCTGCTGGTGTAAATCTGTAGGAGCTCTTCTGACTTCAGAGCTGCTCTGGACTGGCACAAGTGTAAGAAAGGGCAAAATTCAGTCCTTATGTCTGAATCGAATCTAATTAAATAATTATGCTAAAGTCACTGAGGTGAGACCGCAAAGTGTAATTTGCCTGGGATGAGAGAAGCCACATTCTCTTTCTCAGTACTCATGCTGTTGTGCAATGATTGCATTTTTTTTCTCATGAATATGATTCCGTGAGACGGTGCCAAACAGAGGAGGAATTTCAACGTGCCGATAAGATGTTTACATCAACCTAAACATTGCTGGAGCGTTTGACGTATTCAGTAACCTCTGGTTCGCCTGTTCGCCCAAGCAGAAGGAACTCCTGAGTGAATGCCTGGCAGCTTGCATAAGTGCTATAGGAACAAATCCCATTCACAAATAATAACACCGGAGTATAACGCCCACACACGGTTTGGACTAAAGTACCGCAGCGCTCAGGGCTTGCTGGAACGAACGCGGCTATTTCCTGCTGTGCTCGTACCTCCTAGGAATCTCTGAGCCAGGCGTGCTGACCACCCTTCAGGAGTGGAGAATGTGTTTAAAGAGCACATATTTGAAGTTGAGTGTAAAGGCCAGCAAATACTCCTCCATACGGTAGAGTGAAGACTTGGGGCAGATCCTCAGCGAGTGAAAATTGGTGTTGCTCCATTAAAGTCAACACAATTATATTGATTTTACTTCAGCTTTCCACCCTCTCCCCCCATGTTCGTACTGCAATCATACATCCAATAATGTAGATTTTGTATCTTTAAAATGCTTGTAAAGTATGTGTCATGCCCCCTCTAGTGGCTGGTCCACATAGAGGTTAACAACCTGCTACTGCAGCTAGCTAAGAGAGTTCTTGATATACCTCAACTAGCAGAGGCCTGTAGTTTGGAGCTGAAGGCCTTCGGGTCAAACCCTGCTGACCACATAGATATGTGGGTGTTACATACACAGCACTGAGATGGAAAATGTATAGTTAAAGTGGTTACATTGTGATTGGTTCCTGGCTTTAGAGGACTGGGGTTGGAAAATGAGGGCATGGTTCATGCTACAACTGAGGATGCCCAAACACATCCCTCAGATCACTGACATCCTTCTCCTGAGCAGCTGCAGACGGCAGTGCGTTATTTGCAATACAGAGGATCAGCAGTGCTCCAAAAGGCAATACAGACATAGACTGAGATACACCTCGATCTAGGCCCGGGGATCTGATTTTTCCCTTGTCTTGCACCTTCGGTTGTAATTTAAACCAGGACAGAGCAGGTGTAAGAATTTTACGCCCACTCTGGGCTGGTGTAAACGACTGCCCAAGGTGCAGGGCAATGGAAAAGGCGGCCCATGGATTGGATTGAGGATGCTGTCTGCTAGGTGCCCACTTTAGACGCTGTAGGAGTGATCATGAAGGTTGTATTGCTTCATCCCTAGTGCCCAGGACTTAATAAAACCCTAAGTAGTGGCCCCTGCGAGAGAACAGAAAGTGGCAGGCTTCACGCTGTATACTTTGGACCCAGAAGTTTCCCCTCCGCAAGGTTTAACCCTCTGGTTGCCCGTCTGCCTTTCTCGTTTCAGAACCACATTCTGACCCTGATATCAGTGGCCGCTCGGATCTACCAGCACCCTAGCCTAAAGAACTCCGTCAGCTTGGTGGTGGTGAAGGTGCTGGTTGTGGAGGATGAGAAGGCCGGGCCGGAAGTGTCTGACAATGGAGGGCTCACGCTGCGCAACTTTTGCAACTGGCAACAGAGCTTCAACCCCGCTAGTGACCGTCACCCAGAGCACTACGACACTGCTGTCCTGCTGACTAGACAGGTCTGTAGTCTCAGCCGCTGAGAGACCAGAATCCATATGGGATTTACCTTGGGCATGGTCTGGAGCACAGAGGGAGATAAGGAGGGGGCAGAATTATACCCCTCCAGTCCAATACTCTAACAGTGCTAGGCGCTGTACATACACCTATTAAGAGATGGTCCCTTCTCCAAAGCCCTTATATTCTAAATAGAATGCAGACTGTTATTCCCATATCAGTGATGGGAATTGAGACCCAGAGAGATGACATGACTTTGTCCGATCTAACCCCGGGGCACTGAGGCAGAGCTGGGAGTTTAAACTAGATCTCCTGATTCCCACTCCAGTGCTTACCCATACAGCCGTCTTTCCTCTCCATGAAATATTTTCATTCTGGTCCGCATCGTCAGGTGCCCAGCAACGGCATCAGAACTTTAGAGAAAAGGAAGAGATGAAAACTGCTTGGAAACCCATTGACTCATAACCGTGAATTTCAGAAAACCAGCTGCTCGAGGAACCTCACTTAGTAGTCAGTTAATAGGCCACATCTTGTCTTACTTATTTTCATATCACAGAACCATGGGATTTATAGACAGCAACGATCTAGGAGTTCATTTTGTCTATGCCTCAAGCATGAGAGAGCTTGGTAGATCTGAGTCTAACGTGCAGTACCATCTCCTGGCACAAACATACAGACGTAGACAATTCTTTCAGCAATCTACGTAGCAAGACACAGGTTAACATACAAGGAAAAGCTAGAAGTGGGAATAGACCCCAGGGAGTGGCATGCTAACGGAACGATTGATAGATCCCTGGTTAGCCATATACCTACAAATCCATACAGGCCATGAGTCTGTGGAATCACTTGGGGACCCATGCTTTCTCTAACTATATTTCCTCTGGCTCCGTTTTCAAACACAGGACTTCTGTGGGCACCAGAGCTGCGACACTCTGGGAGTGGCTGACATCGGCACCATGTGCGACCCCAACAAAAGCTGCTCTGTGATTGAAGATGAGGGTCTCCAGGCTGCCTACACCCTCGCTCATGAACTAGGTAACTCCTTTTGTACGGCACGCACTGAAGGAATAGCCGCCGGACCACTGCGGCAGAATCCATGGCAGGGTCTTTATAGCTCCGGCATCTCGGCTCTGAAGTCTCTCTCAAGTCAGGGAGACTGGCAGGGGGCAGTTTAAACTGGAGGGCCAGATCCTCAACTGGTGTAAACTCACACAGCACCATTGTAAACTGGCGTAGCTCCATTGACTTCAATTATTATTATAAATGATGTTTATTATATTAGTATCTAAGGGCCAATCAAGATCAGGGCCCAGCTGTGACAGGTACTGCTCCGAGTGTAGACAGTCCCTGTCCCAAAGAGTTTATCAGCTCAATAGACCAGGCAGACCCAGGGTGGGGGCAGAGGTAATACGCCCAAACAGAGTGAACAAGATGATGGCACCAAACGTCTTTTTTTTCCCCCCGCAGTCAAGCTATGCCAGTTTACATAGCTGAGGATCTGGCCCAAGCACTCCAAACCCTTTTCTTTTTATTCACTGTGGTCCTTTGCACCTGCTCAGACCGGTCTGTGTCCAACACGGGAGATCAGCTCCCATTGTGTAATTCAGATACAGTGGGGGGAAAGATATCGTTGAGCTTTGTTCCTGAGTCTGGTTGGTCGCATTTTGCCACTTGGGATATGATCTTTGGCTCGATCGCTCCTGGGGGAGGAGGCACAAAAAATACAGGGGCACCTCTAAGTTAATGGATGGTGTTGCGGACAGTGGAATCTCCACCTCGCAAGCAAGCACCTTATTGAACATCTGCTTCTTGTGGCAGCACCTGGCTTACGCCTGTCCTAGGTCAGGTGCTCCCCATGGGCCCTCTGTGTTTGGGACTCTCCTGGAAGCCGACGGGGATTCCCCATTCAAACCCGCGACAAGGCTGTCAGCCTGAGAAGGGCGGGAAGTGTCAGAGGCCGGGCAGGGCGTACTCAGAGAGGATGTAGGCTGGTGAGGATGGGAGGAGGGAGGAAGACCGCTTGTTAACATTCAGGTTCTCTCCTCTTCCAGGACACGTGCTCAGCATGCCTCATGACGACTCCAAGACCTGTGAGAGGCTCTTTGGGCCCCTGGGAAAACATCACATGATGGCTCCTTTCTTTGTCCACTTGAACAAGACCCTGCCCTGGTCCCCCTGCAGTGCCATGTACCTCACAGAGTTTCTGGACGGGGGACATGGTAGGAATCAATTCAGTACCCACTGGATGGCTGGGGTTGTTCCAAACCACGGGGACTCAGGCCAGCACAGATCCTCCAGGGCCAGATTTTCAAATGTATTTAGGCACCTAACCTGCTGTGGCACTTTTGAAAATCCCATTCGAGCCCACCAGCCTCCTTAGGTGTCTATATGCCATTGACAATATGGCCCTTTTGATATCCCTGCCTCCTGTTCAGCTGGGTGCACAGACTTCATCTCTAAGGGCTCTTAGGCCAGTCCAAGCACCACGGCAAGTTGGAACGCACAAGCTGGGAAAGGGAGGCAGTGGGCCCTGGCTGACATCTTAGCCAGGCAAAGCCCGAATAGGTCAGAGGCCCCCAAGCGCCCATATCAGTCGTTTACCCACCTGCTTGGCCTATAAACTCTCCGTTACAGACACCATGCACTGGAGTGTCCCCGGTGCACTTTCCTCACTGCTCATCTCTCTTTAACATCCCGCACCCCAGGGGTTATGCTAGGGAAGCAGAGGTGCTGGGGCAGCTTCATGCAGCCAACAGCAGCTGAGGAATTGCTTCACTGGGGGATCCTGACGGCTTAGACGCCCACTGATCAGGGACAGCGTAGGGATAATAAAGTCATCTCTGCCGGACAGCAAGAGAGAATGGAGCTGGCCCCTAGGACCCCAGGGCTATGCCTTAGGTGAATGGTAAACAACTTTATTTCACTCTGCTTTGCCCTGTTCACTGACCAGGTGACTGTCTGCTTGATGCGCCAGCCGAACCCATCGTCCTCCCCACAGACCTTCCAGGCCAACTCGCCATGTACGACCTGGACCGCCAGTGCCAGCAGATCTTCGGCAAGGAGTTCCGGCACTGCCCAAACACCACAGACGAGGACATCTGTGCGCAGCTGTGGTGCAGAATGGACACCAGGGAGCCCCTGTGTCACACCAAAAATGGCAGCTTGCCATGGGCAGACGGTACGCCCTGTGGAGCGGGCAGGCTGTGCTGGGATGGCAGCTGCGTGGCACACGATGCGAGGAAGCCCCAGGTAACAGAATGGCTGATGGGAAAGAGATGATCTGTCTCTACCCGGGTGAAAGAACTATTCACCAAGAATGCGGCTGAAGAGCCGGGCCCTCACCCATGATCTTCCTCTCCACCATCATCTTTAAAAAGCAGTTGAGCTTTAGGTGTTGCCCAGCCTTATCATTATTATGTGTATTGTGGTAGCACTAGGAGCCCAAGTCATGGCCCACGACCCCACTGCGCTAGGTGCTGTACAAACACAGAACAAAAAGACAGCATCTGCCACAAACAGTTTGCCATCTAAGTAGAGTTAATACTTAGCACTTGCATGCATGATTCCTCCTAAGAACCAGGGAAGTCTCGTTAACCCCAGATGCGGAAACTGAGGCAGAGAGCCGACATGACTTGCCCAAGGCCACATGGCAATTCACAAGCAGAGATGGGATTAAAACCTTGAAGTCCTGACTCCCAGCCTCGTGCTCAGACCGCTAGACCCTACTTCCTCATTGCCTACATCCAAGGAGGGTGAACTCAAACACCAAGCAAGTTCTGCCCGCCTCTCAAGGAAGAGACAAGATGAGCAAATACCCTGGGCGTGAGTGTTAACTGCTGATAGTGTCGATGGCCCCGATCCTGCAATCCAGTCTGCTAATGTGGATCCCTGTGGATCACGTTTATGCCAATTAGAATTGGGCTCCTAGACGGCTGGCAATTTATAAATGAAGCACCTCATGTTACAAAATTGGCAGGAGCGTGGGGGCAGTTCCCTTATCTTCATCCATCCTAACCTGTATCCAGGAAGGGCCCATATCTTTTGACTTGCCTGGGGGGGTTTTGTGAATATCTCCTTTGATAGCATGTTACGCTGAGATATTTTTTATTTCAGCCCATGCTGGACAAGGCTAGCTCATAGATTAACTCTGCAGTGAATTTCATTATGGTTTGCGCTGGTCTGAACTAGACTGAGCAGATTGTCCTTGTGCCTTTGAGTCATTTCCTTTCCCCGCGGGGAACGTACATGGAAATCAACTAGTTCTGAATCAGGGCCCAGTGCAGCCAAGTATTTAAACACGAGCTTAACTGTAAGCACGTGAATAGGTTCATTAAAGTTGATCGTGCTTAAAGATAAGCAGGTGCATAAGGGCTTTGATAGATCAGGGCCTCCAGCCAGCACTGTTAGGAAGCAACATATGGGGTCATTTTACTGGTGCTTTAGTCCTTTATTTGCCCTCCATATTTACATGACAGGATCAATGTCAGGATAAAAATCACGAGGCTGAGTCATAATTCACAACAGTTTTCCTCTGGTGTGATTCCTCCGGCCTTCGTGACCTTGCTACTGAGCACAGGGGCTACGAACTGAGGAGAGAACACCTCTCCTATTGTGCCAAAGCATCGCAGCTTTACTCCTTTAACTGTGAGTTTCCTGTCCTTTGTGGGCTCCTGCTGCTACCATAGCGATCTTTTAATGTGCAAACAATCATATTTATGTTACCCCCCCCCCTTGCTGCTCACTGTTTGCTTTCTGCACTTCACGAGGGACGTGGACTGCTCAGTTCCACTTGGGCACCACAGGTTTGTTTCCTGGCTGGTTCTCCCGTGATGCTGCAAGGTTTGGGTTGCAAACGCCACAGGGGATGTTTAAACCTCAACCAGAGCATAGTGGCTTGGCTGCATTTTTAAAAGAATATTTCTACCTCCATCAGGTTTTGTACGACACCTTTTTGTCATATTTATCTAATTAGAAATTAACACTACCACCTACCCCGTGCGCCCTGCAGCAACACACCGACTGACCGATAAACACGCTGTAACTTAACCTCTAGGCTCTTCAATGGCCTGCCACCATCAGCAGCGCAGTGCCGAGCACAAAATGAACCCAAAGCCCAGCCATGACTTATTCTCCCTCTCTCTGTCAATTCCCATTGGGTGACACCTGCCCTTATTGGCCTTAATGGCAGAACTCCCATTGATACCAGTGGGGCCAAGTTTTCACCCATGGACTTCAATAGATGCTCATCCCCTCTGAGAGTCAAGCCCTAAGCCCTGTACAAGGTTGAAAGGGACAATGACAGCTGCCTGAAGGACGGGAGCTTGACCTACTCTAGGAGTGGTCCAGGCCCCTAGTTTGGGCCCCGGTTCTGCTCCATGTTCAGCCAGGGATGGTTGTTACAGCACATCACCGGCTTCTCTTCTGGTGTGGAATGTGATGGCTCAGAGGCTCTGGTGAGCTGCCAGAGGGCAGGGGCTCTGGAGGCGAGGGCCTTCCCCTGCGTCGGGCCTGCCACCGGCTGTGCGAAGTTTAAACCCTGGAGCCAACGTCACGAGCGACCCCACCCGGCTGAACTCTGCTGGCGGTGTGGCGAGGGAGGTGGCCTGGGTCTCAGGCTTATGGTTGAGTTTTGCAAAGCCAACTTGGGGATTTGCGTGCCCAACTCCCAGTCACTTCAGTGGGGAAAAGGGGGCACAAATAGCAGTTAGGGGCCTAACTCCTATTGAGAGCTCGGCACCTACCTGCCATTTGTGCCTTGGAAAAATTTCCCCCATGTCCTTTCGGCAGCTTGGAAAAACTCAGCCTAAACGGACAAGCCTATCTTTGGCACCCAGAACCCTTTTGAACGTCCCACAAATGGCCTCTCTAGTGGGTAGTGCATTGGACTGGGACTCAGGAGAGCTGGCTTCTGTTCCTGGCTTGGCCGCTGGCCTAACGCTTGGGCAAGTCACTTCCCTCCCTGTGCCTCAGTTTCCCCATGTGTATAATGGAGATGATCTGCTTTGTAAAGCACTTTGAGAGCTACTGCTGAAAAGCACTAGATAAGAGCTAAGGGTTCTTACTGATTTCTTTCATTGCCATAACGAGAGCCTTCCGTAACAGAATCCTTTGCAATGTCTTGCAGCCCGTGGTGGATGGGAACTGGGGCCCCTGGAGCCCGTGGGGAGCCTGTTCCAGGACGTGCGGAGGAGGAGTGCACTTCTCGTACCGGGACTGCAACGACCCCGCACCTCAGAACGGTGGAAAATACTGCGAGGGTCAGAGAGCCAAATATCAGTCATGCCGCACAGAGGAATGCCCACCGGACGGTAATCCACTGTTTGCAAGTCACACTACCCTCCGCACAATATCCCTGGCTCCGTCTGCAGACGCTCCAGAGAGAACGGCCGGGTAATGGGTTTCCCAGCGGGGGAGCTCAGGCGGATGTGAAAGGAGCCATTGTACAGCTATCGATATAATTTACGAGGCATTATTTATGGCAGCAGCCTGTCTGCTGAGATCTGACTGCCAGGCGCTGCTGGAGACAGGGAGGGCTCTGTCTGCCACTGAGACAATCAGAGTATCCCTCACCCAGATTCTGGAGGTAGCACACGGCCTTCCATCCCAAACCTACCAGAAGGTTTATTTACCAAAACCACTCCTTCCCAGTCACCGTTTCCCCAAGAGCCATTGGCAGGTTAATTGGCCACAGTCTTCTGGCAGGGGTATCCACCCAGCTACCAGCTCCACCAGGGTCTAGTGGTGAGACTTGCAGTGTGCATGCATGGATGAGCAGCAAGCCTAGCTCACTGACCGGATGCCGTTTGTAATATTTCAGGCAAGTCATTCATTGCCCTTGGGTTGCTGTCGGGTCACATTTCCCCTTCCTTTCAGGGAAGAGCTTTAGAGAGCAGCAGTGCGCAAAGTACAACAGCTACAACTTCACAGATCTGGACGGGAATCTGCTGGAGTGGCTCCCCAAGTATTCTGGGGTGTCCCCCCGGGACCGTTGCAAGCTCTTTTGCCGAGCCAGAGGGAGGAGCGAATTCAAAGTATTTGAGGCCAAAGTAAGACACTTGCCTTTAATTATTATTGTCCTTACCTGGAATATAACTGGATGAAAGGCCCCAGCTGGGGTCATGGAACTGTCTCATTATTATCTGCTTCTTCTGGCCCAGGTGATCGATGGGACGTTGTGTGGGCCAGAGACCCTCTCCATCTGCGTCCATGGGCAGTGCATCAAGGCTGGCTGTGACCACGTGGTTGGCTCCTCCAAGAAGCTGGACAAGTGTGGGGTGTGCGGTGGCAATGGGTCGACATGCAGGAAAATATCCGGCTCACTCAACAGATCCAAGTAAGTCCTGGGGAGGTTGAAGCCTGGTATTCCGGGGGGTGATGGAAGGAGATGATCGTAGCATAAAGGTGGCACCAAGTGAGAGAGGTTTGTCTCTCCTGGTGATGTTTTTGGAGCAGCGGCTTTCACCCCATAATGATCCTGCCCCTTGCAGGATCGAACCCCCAAACAACCTGAAAACTCCGGACGGATGCTCTTAGAGGGCCTGATTCTACATCATTCCAGCTAATTAAAGCGTTGCAGGATCAAGTTCAGAGAGAAAACGGGTTTAAACATCCAACATAGTCACTGTTTCCAAGGCTCTTTCCCTGGGGGCCAAATACTGGACTTCAGTGGAGCTCCACTGACCTACAGCAGCTCAGAATCCAGCCTCTGAACCGATTCTTCTCTCTAGCTACACCTCTGAAACTTCATTGACGTTAATGCATTCAAACAGGGGGTAGCAGAGGGAAGAATACACCCACACGTTCCTAAACACGTATTTCCTTACACAGACAACCAGCAGCATGTCAGATGTTTACAATGATTTCAGATTTAATAATCCAGGTGACTCTTCCCCGTTTGTTTTAATTTTTACTCTTGAATCAGTTTGGACAGTGAAACCAGACCCAGTCAGGCTCACCTTTTGTCTCTTGTCTGTTACCCTTTCTGATTCTCCTGCGCTATCTAAGTGCTGCAATGTTGTGGATGCCAAAACTGCAGGAAAAACTTTATATATATATTTAAAAAAAAAAATACCTCTTAACATTAACTTTTAAATGTATCATGAAATTATTAAGGTTTGCAAAAACAATTCTCACACACACACACACACACACACTCTCTCTCTCTCTCTCTTAGAACCTAAACTACCTGTCAGTCAGGCAGATTCTGACCTCATTTGCACTCGGATAAATCAGGCATAACTCTATCAGTTTCCATAATGTTAACCTGGATGTACACTAGTGTAATTGGGCTCAGAATCCAGGAAAGTGACCCTGTAATGTTTGTTATCTCTGCCCCAAACTCCATGAAACTTCTGCAAAGTTTATTCCTTATGTAACCTAAGCCGTGCCTGTTGCTTCAAACGTTATCTGGTGCCGCTACCATGTGCTTGGTGCTCTACCAGGCACCAATAAAAAAGTCAGTCCCTGCCCTGCGGTGGTTACAGTCTAAGCTCAGAGGTTGAATTTCACCAGTGTGCAGTGGGCCAGCATAAGACCTATGCCATGCTTAAATGTCTCAGTGATCTTGTGCTGGCCTGACACATGGGCGAGTTTTGTTGTCTGGGCCAGAGCCTAAAGATGGTATAAATCCATGTAGTGCCACTAACCTCAATAGAACTGTGGCAATTTGTACCAGCTGCAGAGCTGGCCCTTTGTGTTTACGGGTTAAACTCCAAGCAGAATAATGCTAGCCATCGGAGTCCAATATAAAAGACTTCTTGGAAAGAAGTATTGGGAGCATAAGCTTTCGTGGGTAAGAATCCACAAAAGTTTATGCTCCCAATACTTCTGTTAGTCTTAAAGGTGCCACAGGACCCTCTGTTGCTTTTTACAGATTCAGACTAACACGGCTACCCCTGTGATTCTTGGAAACAGAGTAACAAAGGGCTGAGAGATCAAATTCCATGTGGCGAGATTACTCCCGGGGTCAAATTAGATTTCCTAAATGGTTTCCTTCCAGGGAACACAATGAATGGAACTTCCATTTGCCAATGAATTGCTTGTGGTTGACTAAAGAGAGATTAACATGGTCATGACAGCCAAAAGGATTTAACCTACAAGAGATCCTATTAAGATCAGGGTTAAGGATGCCAGCACAACTGACAGCAAAATTCGACCCTAAGGCTTTGTTCCAAAATACTCTATGCATAACTGCCAGCCACAACACAAGCCCTTGAAACGCTTTGTGTAAATATTCCTGTCAGCTACAGGTGCTGACTTGTGCCAGGTGCTGGATTCTAGTGTGTTGCCTCACACATGTCACAAATGATCATTATTGTTTGCTCAGCACAGACAATGTACAAGGCACAAAGACAGACAGTCCCTGACTTAAAGGCCTTTTAGTCCATAGCCATGACTCAGTGCTCACACTGCAGTCCCTAGGCCCCTGCATACTCCACGATTCTACAGCGACACAATTTGCCATGGAATCCAGCCCAGCGGCAAAACTGCGCTCCAGAATCGGATTTCATTTTTTTAAAACTCAGTTGCTATCTCTGATGGTTGCAAAGAAAACCTTTCAAACGTAAACCAAGTGCAACCAATGTGGAGAGATACCTGCTTGAATCTGCAGATGGCCTGGAAAAAATAGCTCAAAGAGGTGTGAACTGCCCCACTCATCTCACAAGAGATGTTAACTCTGAAACCTAAAGAGGACAATATAAACATCAATATCAGTAACTGCTTAACTGCTGATTGTTTTAGCAGAAACATCCAGCCAGTGTTCTTATCCTATAGTTCCAAACTGTCACTGATCCCTCCCCAGGTACCAAAAGCCCCAGCTGCCTCGTGCCCAGCTGTCAAAACCCTCCTCTGTGTCTGTGATGAGGTCCCAATGCAGATCTGAGCTTCCAGAACAAAACTCTGCAGCCCCACTGCAATGTAAAAATTTAGGGGCAGTGTAAAATAAAGGGAATTTCATATCAAAATAAATAACTGATTGCACTGCTCATTTTCACATTTTGTTCAGAAAAACCCTCCCGTTTAACATTTATCGGAGGCTGTCACAGAATTTTCCATCCATGGCACTGGAGTGCCGATTAGGTCAAGCTTGTCACAGGCAATATGCTATCCCATCCCTGTACTAATTTGTAAGTTCAGGATGATAACCATCTCCTCTTGATCCACGCAGGTATGGATATAATGACATCGTCACGATCCCTGCTGGAGCTACCAACATTGATATCAAACAACGCAGCCACCGAGGGGTCCGTCACGATGGAAACTACCTGGCTTTGAGAACCCTGGACGGCAAGTACCTCCTGAATGGAGACTTTGCCATTTCAGCCATGGAGCAAGACCTCCTGGTGAAGGGGACAATCCTGAAGTACAGCGGCTCTCTGACGACTCTGGAGCGGCTCCAGAGCTTCCGGCAGCTTCCGGAATCTCTCACTGTCCAACTGCTGACCGTCTCCAGTGAGGTCTTCCCGCCCAAGGTGAAGTACACTTTCTTCCTCCCCAAGGACATCCCCTTTAGCAAGCAGAAGGTCAAGGAAAAGAAATCAGCCAACATTATCCAGCCCATGCTGACCTCGCAGTGGGTTATGGGAGACTGGTCCGAGTGCTCCAAAACCTGCGGCTCTGGCTGGCAGAGGCGAACGGTGGAATGCCGGGATGTGGAGGGCCAGGCCTCCACCACCTGCGACAAGGCTCTGAAGCCTGAGGACATCAAGCCCTGCGGCGACCTCCCGTGCCCCATTTGGCGTGTCGGCCCCTGGTCGCCGTGCTCCCGAACTTGCGGCGAGGGAGTGCGGACGCGGAGCGCCGCCTGCATTGACTATGCAGGAAAGATCGTAGCCCCTGAGAAATGCAGCTTGCCCCCGCCCCAGGCAGCGACCGCTGCCTGCGTACTGCAAGAATGCTGAGCCAGGACAGGCCTAGTGCATCGGAGACGCATAACGTAGCCAACTACTAACCAGACCAGACCTGGCTTGGCAAGTCAAGCAGGGACGTAGGTTTAAAAGTGAACGTGCACTAATTGACCTGAGCAGGCCCCCGGGGGCAGACCTGCTTGGAAGACTCTTTTCTGGTTCCATCCCCCGCCAATAGACATCTACCTCAGAGGGGGCAGAAAATAGTCCGGGGGAAAGGAGGAGTCCAGTGATTTATTTTTACTGGTCAATAGCAGATGAATTTTAATTTAAGGAGCGAGTAATCCTATTCTAGGCTATTTCCCAAAAGGATGACCTGAGTTTCAGCCATGCCCACCCATTCTCCTTCATTATTTACCATATGTGGCCTGAGAGACTCATCTGCAGGGAGGCTGAGGGGTAGGATAGCTGCACCCCCTGGCTTGAAGGGGTTTCCATTACGTTCAGGGTTTACAATTTGGTTCAATGGCTCTCAGCACCCCCACTATACAAATTGTTCCAGCACCCCTGAGTTTAACACAGGTTTGTTTGTTTTTTCAACCTGTATGGGATGAAGGGCCTGATCCTGCCGCCATTACTCAGGTAGAATTCCCAATCTCTTCAGTAAAGACTGTGGGAGCAGAAGCCTTAAACATGACCTTATACTAATTTGGCAAATTCCATTAGGGTTCGTTACTACAGAGGGGTTTAAGCTGCACAATTTGGCCCCTCTGCCCTGTCCCAACTTCAGTGGTGTTCGGACCTGGGGCTTTGGTTCAGCCCATTTGAAGCTGGGCCCCTTTGCCAAACTTCTGTGGATCGTGGCTCCGATTTCGGTCCCCTTTGTCCCAAAGTTTGGGGGTGTTTGGATCCAGGGGGCTTGTTCAAGGCCATCTCTATTCTTAGATGGTTATATACAACCATCCACCATCTGAACAGATGAAAGGAGAGGGGACAAAGTCGGTCCATTAGTAGTGCACAAATGCAGTGGAAGCCCCGTGGAAAGTCAGCCTGCAAAGTCAAACCCAGCATTGCACGTGTCCATCTGAACCTTTCCGACTTGTCTCTCTCAGTTAGCCTGCACAGACAACCAATGAACTGTTGCAGGAGGCAGAGTGTTGTGAGTAGGGGACCGAGCTCCAGCTACTCCTGAGTCTAAAGGACACTAATTCCTTTATGCAGCCTTAGATGAGTCACTTAACCTCAATTTCCTCAGCTGTAAAACGGGGCTATTGGCACTACCCTGATTCACAGGATGTCATGAGGATTAGCTGATGTTTGTACAGTGCTTTGAAGGTGAAGAGCGAAATGTTTATTGCATGATATAAGCTAGATGCTGCATCTCAACTATGCCCTGACTCCTGACCAGGAGGGTGCGAGCTAGTGTTTCCTTGCGCATGGAAACCCTCCTCGGTTCTCAGTCAATTCTCCCACCACTTTGCCCTAGTATTGTCCTCCATCTGACCAGTCCTGACCAGGACATCTAAAACAGCTTCTCCCAAGGCTGGAGTCTTTTTTTTTTCCTAGCAGGGATTGCTGCCAGAGCTAAGTAACACAGCCAGCTCTTCTCTCTCTCCGACCCAGATGTTGTCTGTCCCCAGTGCAGACATCTGGCCAGTCTCTGAACTTTCACCTTTTGAAGCAAGCTCCCTGTGCTACACATCCGGTGAGACTGATCAGACCTGGCAGCAGCCTCTGTCTTTAGGGAAAATGTGCAAATTTACTTTTCATCAAAGTTTCTCAATAGGGGAGCCTCATATTACCCAGAAGTTCCATTTTCTTATGCCCCTACCTTGGGGACTCCCAAGCATCTTTCTCCCTTTTGATGCTCTCACACTCTCTCTCTCGTGTGTACGGCTTCCATTTAATTGTTGGAAACAAACCCCAGCGAACTAAAGAGATCTCCATTTGTCGGTCTCTCTCTCTCTGCCTGTCTCATGTGTGTCCTTTTCTAATTAGGACTGGGTGACCCTCCTGGAGGATAAGATTCTGTGATCATTGAAAACTATTTGGGGGAGGGGAGGGGTTCTCAAACCTATTGACCCTATTTTCCCTGTATTTTAATTCTAGGTTTTTCTAGCTAAAGCAAAGCCTGTACTATAGGGAGGGGCATGCCAGCATTTCCCCATCGGAACAGTGGTGAGAGCAGGTTACTAGGAGGCAGGATTCCTCGGGTCTGTTCCTGACTTTGCAGCTGTTTTCTGACCTTGGGGAAATCACTTCTGTTCTCTGTACCTGTGGCTACGTCTACACTGTGACACCGAGTCTCCGAGCCTAGGTCAATTGATTCACCGGGATTGGCTGTGGGGCTGCAAATAGCAACCTAGACGTTTGGGCTCAGGCTGGAGCCCAGGCTCTAAGATCCACCCCCCTTGTAGGGTCCCTGAGCCCGAATGTCTACGCTGCAATTTTTAGCCCCGCAGCCTGAGCCCTGAGAGTCCAAATCAGCTGACGCAGGCTAGCTGCCCTGCAGCCATGCCGCAGGCCTTTTATCTGTATAGGAGAGGCCTGGCCGAGGTCAGCTCCTTAAAGGTCAGCAACGTATTGTTACAGAATGAGAGTATTTGATGAGGCCGGGAGGAAGCTATTTTAGCCACAGATGTCAGCAGGGAGGGCGCACGGAGTGGGTGGGCGGCTGCAGAGCCCTTGTAAGAGCCATTCTTTTATTTATTTATTTCGTCGTTGTTACTCTTCTTATGCCAGAAATTGACTCATGCATCTTTGACCTGCTGCTCCTCCTGGGGCTGGCACTCCATGCAGAATGTGCTCTGGCAACCTCATTAGGGGTGTGCCCCAAGACGACCTCCACAGTGGGGTCACCCTTTTTTTCCTGCAGTCGGTGACCTTTCAAACTAAAGCTGCTACATGTGCTGCTGCTATGGGGCTCCCCGGCCTTTACCCACTCCCTGCATAGACTAGAGTTAACATGCCGCTAGCTTGGCCCATGTGAAAGGGAGACCCTTGCCTGGGGCCCCATGAAACAGCCACGCCAAGGAAAAAGGGAAGGGGGTTGACCCTTCCACCTTGGAATCAGGGCCAGCTCCAGGGTTTTAACCGCCCCAAGCAGCCAAAAAAAAAAAAGCCGCGATCGCGATCTGCGGCGACAATTCGGCGGGAGGTCCTTCGCTCCGAGCAGGAGTGAGGGACCGTCCGCCGAATTGCCGCCGAACAGCTGGACCTGCCGCCCCTCTCCGGAGTGGCCGCCCCAAGCACCTGCTTGGTAAGCTGGTGCCTGGAGCCGGCCCTGCTTGGAATGGAGTTGGGACAGTGAAAGAGAAGCCCGTTTTGTTCATCTTGAATAAAGAATAGTCTGCCTGCTGGCTGCACCGTATTTAATGTAAGGGGCAGCGGGAATAGAAGTGCTAAAACCAACAGTGGTGTGTGGTTAAATCCTCGGGTCGCATTTGAATATCTCAACCAGTATCTCAATACTGGGCTGACCCAAAATCCCAGATCCGAAAGCTCCTGATTTAGGGGTTCAAAATCCAGATCCAAAAGTGTGGCCTATTCAACCTTGGGGTTTGGATCTAGACCCTTACAAAGAGAGGTTTGAGCTTTGAACTCTTATCAGAAGTTGGAGTAAGGAGGGTTGGGTCCTACCCACGTCTTAATAAGAACTGACCCAAACCTGAGCTGAACCCAGATAGAACCTTAGCACTGCTGCCTCTTCATTTCTAGATTCTGGGGGCAGATGTGCCAAAATACCATGAGAAAGGCTGTTTGCACCAGGAATCTTTCCAGAAAGCCAGTCCTCACTAGACATCTAGCTTAATTTTGAAGACCTAGAACATTCAGGCCCTGATCTTCCTCCAGCAGGATATGGATAACTGCCACTGAAGCCCAGTGAAGTTTTTCTTATCCTGGGGGTTTAGCTGAAGGGAAGAGAAGACCCCTGCTGATCTGGTTGTTTCCTTTAATCAAACTACTGAATTTCAAGTTTGCTCTCCTCCAGATATGTTGGGAAATCTTTACAAATCCTCATTGGCTTCTTTCAGGACACAGTGACTCATGCGTTTCTCACCTTCCCTTTGCTGATCTGAGAATGTGTATGCAGAGCAGGTCATGAACTCAATAGCGCCCTCCTCCAATATCATTTTATCGGCATGTTACACAATATATAAAATGGTCGGACCCGAGCCAGAGGGTGCACGTCAGGGTCCAGACTTTGAAAAAGTTCACAGCGTGAAGAATCCAGAATTTCTATTAGGCCCCTTTTATGGAGGTAATGGACAGCTGCAAAGTTTGGATCCAGCACTGAATTTTCCCAGAGTTTGAGGTTCAATTCAGGCCTCTCTAATGAACACACACAGAACGCTGCTCTAGCTCCAGGAATTTAAACCATCTCACACGCTCCAACAAATAGTTGGATGCTGAAGTCATGCTTTCTTGCTTTGGTATTTTTTTTCCTTCACATGTGTGAGTGTTTAACTCAAAAGCAACTATGTGTCTTTTCTCCAAGGTTGTAGTGCCCATTTGAGATAGGTCAGAAATTGCAGTCTGAGATTTCCCTGAGATTGTGCCAAGGAAAACATATGCACTAATAATGAAGCCCACACTGGTGTCAAGCAAGCAGAGAGACCTCCTCCATTCACGTCCATGGCGCAGTTCATTAGCTAGAACTTCTTGCATGTGCAAGTTCCCAGTTACAGACAAATCCCAATCAGCATGATATTTTTGATTAACTCCCCAATTGCTTTCTAGCTCTGCTTGTGTTCCTCTTAGTCCTAAATAGTGTAAGAGGACTCTTCGTCCCCAGTTCAGTAAGGTACTGAAGAGCACATCTGGCATTAAGCATGTGAGTAGTCCAATGGACTTCAAATGAGTTTAAAGTTAAGCATGGGTTTAAGTGATTCGCTGGATCATGAGGGGGAGAATGCATCTGTGGTATATAAAGCTCTGTTGAAAAAATACTGTGGTGTTTTGCTGTATTGGTCCCTGATATGGAAGTAACATTATAGCAAGCATTTGCACTGGTACTGTTGTTTTATATTCAGCACAGGCCTGTGTCTCTAAGCTTGAAGTGGGAATTCTTTACAGCAGCTGCATTCCTGCTACTGAGGGTTAATAGTTTAACGCCAGCATGTGAGGTCCAGCCCTGACCACTGAAAAGTAAAGCTAACCTCGAGGTGACAAGGGCAGGAAACCTGCCAGTTTCTCATTCACGCCAATGTCAATCCTATTTTAAGCAGACCTTTTTGGTCTCTTGTTCTCACTCTTCTAGTTACTGTAGATTGAGATTCGCTCTCAGCACAAAATTTGGACCAGGATCAGAACTTCTTTATGGGGTGTTTTGATCCCGGGCATTGGGGCCCAGGTCTGATACATACATTTCACTGGGTGATGATTGTTTTGGAATTCCTGACCTATCCTTCTCTTAGAAACATGTAGCATTTATGGTGATGTAAGTCAAATAAGTTATATATAGGAGATATATATAGAGAGAGAGATGTATATATGTTTCCCTTCAGTGAAGGATTGTAGCAGTGTACTGAGCCTCTTCTGTAAAATATTTATTATGAATATTTGTTTTGTACAGTAGCTGTCTGAAAAGAAGGTGTGACCATTTGTGTTTTAAGATGATGCTGCTGTCCTCCCCCATCCTACACCCGCAGTGGAGTTTTGGGGGAGGAAATCTCGCTAATCTTTCTAATTGCTTAGTTACACAACTGGTATCTCACTACTGTTTGGTGTGCAAATCAGGACGCGATTTCCAATCAAGCTTTGTAATCATAACAAACCAATAGAAATAAACGTTCTAATTTTATTTTAACAAAGAAACATTTTCTTGTTTTATCCTGGGTTTTGTTTTGTTCTGTTAATCTTTGAAAATGGATAGTCCAATTGTAATGCTAGCCTTTATCTCTTAATAAAGGACTTCCTGGAAATTACCACATTGTCAGTTTTTGTTTTCCACTGGTTAGATTTGGTTTCATGAATACTTTCCTCTGTGTGTTTTATGTGTCGCCTTATTTCTGATCCTTGCTTTACCTTTTTTTATGTAACTTTTCAGAAATGTCTCTCTGGATTTTAAACTAACGAAACAAAACATTACGATAGGAGGCTGTCAAAATAAATCTGTGAGAAATCGTGGAGTTGTTTACATTTTGCAGGTTGCTTATGCTGTGTTAGTAGGTACTGCAGAACTCTGTGACTTATTAGACCTGAGAAGAAATATGCTCTAGTGGTTAAAATAGGGGGACCGCTGTGTTCTTCATTTAACTCTGCCGCCAAATGAATTACTCAGCATTTATATTGGTGTCAGAGAGAGCAGAATTTGGCCCTTATTGTTATAAATGTAGCATCATCCTCTAAAAATACAGCTGTTAAAGTTTAGCACTTCTGACGCCATATTAGGTGGCAAACTTATCTGGATGTATGGACTGAGTTTAGAGGGTGTCTCACTTCATATAACACAGATAGTTTGCCTTTCTCAAGGCCCATGTTAGCTGGATTCCCTCTACCTTCCCTTAAATGACTTAGGCCCTGATTCAACAAACCACTTAAGCACATGCTTAAAGTTAAGCACGTACTTAGGTGTTGTGCTCAACTGGGGTCTTACATTGCCAAGTCAGTAGGAGTCTGACGCATCCCTTTGTGTCTTATATATCCCTTCTGAATTTACCTAGCAGCATTAAACACTAATGCCACTGACTTCAGTGAAGTTACTATGGATTTACACCAGTGCCTCTGAGCAGAAATTGACCCATTACTCTGCTTATGTTCTACTTGAGTATGTCTGATTCCATGGTTGATTCACACAAGCTTTGCTTCTGTAGTCTGTACTGTCACCAGAAGCCTTCTTCAAAAACACAGCCGTCCATCATATAGAGGCTAACGTTTATCTTCTTTGCATTACATGGTTGCTCATCTGTTATTCTGTTTAGACCTAGACCCCAGCCGTAGGGATGGTTGACGTGCCATCCATGGAAGGTAAAATAAAACCAGCACATACCATACATTTCAACATGTTCCTTCCTGAAAATTGTTGTCACTGCAAGATTATAACTTGGCCAGTGAAATACAAAGCCTTGGGCTTGAAATACACCAAGGAGAACTTGAATAGAAAATTCTGGTCCCAAAGCAAAGTGAGCACCTCTGAAATGGCTTCTTTGCATCTTTCCAGTTTCCGGTTTCTTTGCCAACAAAGAGACATGCTGGATGGGGCTGGGGTAGTTGGGTCTCCCTGTGGTAGGGCCAGTGCCGCTCAGGAGAATGGGGTTCAAAGGTTGCTGTGTTTGTGCTTCCCCATGGTGCTAATTTGCACCTTGGTTACACACTGGTGGTCCACAGCCACAAGGGCTCTTGTGCTAGTGAAGGATTGCCGTGCTATAGGGACACACTGGCTGGGCCTCCTTTCCCCCCAACTGGTGGCGTGGCACAGGTATTACTACGGTGCATCTATACCCTAAGGAATCTCCCAGGCAAGGGGACAGACTCCTGAAGAGTCTGGTTAAGTTCCTTGGGCCGCCAGTACAGCATAGAACAGCCAAAATGCAGCAGAGGATCACTCCTTGCCTGGCTTTGCCCTGCTGTGCAGGGATGGTGCCTCACCACCTAGCGGGCCCTCTTGGCCTACAAATGGTCTATGCTCCACGCCCAAGTTTCCTCTATCCTGCCCTCAGCTTGAGCAATGGGGCTGCACCAGGGGTTGCTTGAGGGACACCGATTCCAATGAATTCAGGCACGTACTTGCAGCTGGTACCCTAGCAAGCCTCTGAGGTTTGGGAACAGTTGCTTTTACTTCCTTCCCTAAAGATTTACTGGGCAAATGGTGCTGATGGCAGAGGGTGTGGGCTGCTATTTTTGGTCTCAGCCCAAGAAAAACAGAAAGGGTTAGTCCTCCACCACAGGCAGTGCATGGTAGCCTACTCTACAACAAGTCACTGTGTTAATGGGCACAGAAATGCATGACACCCTATTTATAACCTTGCGTACCACTAATTTTAGACAACATCCGTTGGCCCCTGTACAGCTGGGTCCTATCTTTCAGCTCATTAAAAAGCCAGGCTTGCCTATTGTTTCCTCTTCGTTTTCAAACCAAACTTTGTTTTGCTCTTAGCACTGGAATTTCGTGAGTATTGGTCAGCTTGGTGCTGCTGCATATCGGTGAAGCCATGGGTGACAGACTATTAATGGGTAGGTAAAAGCTACCAACTAAGCAGGCCTCTGTATCACTACAACTAGATTTAAGAGGTTAAAAACGGGGCAGGAAGAGGCTATAAGGAAAGGCATATCACTGGAGTTTCTCTGCAGCTGTTCCCTTTCGGGAAACAGACAGACTAGGTGACAGCGGGCAGTGAGATGCGCTACCTTATTTTTGCCAGGGAGAGAAGATGTGTCCCAGTCCTGGATTCACGCCGTTCTCACATGCAGAACTAGGGCTGTTATCCAGTGTCTCAGTTGCATTCCAGTTTGAGGTAATTATATTTTGTCAGCCTACTTCCCTCACTGCAGATTTCCTTGGTTATGGCATTTCCTTCACTTCTCATCCTAAACTGCTGGGTCGTGCCAAACAGTTGCTGCATTCCACCCCAGAAGTAGCTGCACATCAGCAGTGGGTGAAGTGATTCACGTGTGTCTGTGCTGGTGCAAAGCACTATGTGGTCCTGTAGGATGAAATGTGCTATCTACTCACTTAATCCTATCAGGTCCTTGAGTGCAGCATCCCACATGATCACGCCATAAATGCACAATGCATAGTAGCCATTCTCATATAATGTGTGTGAGCTATACTGGAGATGGGCCCAAGCATCTAAAATCATAGCCAAAGCCAGATTCCCAACACTCACAATGGACGAGGGCAGTGATGCTCAGACCGCAGTTGGCCCTTTAATGTGTCCCCTGCAGCTCTTTGCAGCCCATGATATTAAAACAGTGTGATTTAATTACTAACCAATCTGAGTTATTAACCAATCAGGATGCTTTTACTACATTATTAACCAATTAAGTTATCAACTTGCACTAAGTTATTAACTTATTTGCCATGAGACTAATATATATATAGAAACTAAATATTTCCCCATCAGATTCGTTTACTATAGTACTATTCATATTTAAACAAACAATGAATTCGCACCACTGTGGCTCTTTTGGGTAATGTTAATTGCCAATTTGGTTCCTGAACCACTGAGGTCTGAGTATCACTGCTCTATAGTTAAGGATGCAGCCAGGAATTTTCTTCTCTCTTACTATCCCCTAAATAAGTGGACTGGTTTCCAAAGGTGCTGGACACGTGCACTTCCTGTGACTTCAGTGGGATTTGTTGGCATTTAGAGCCTCTGAAAATCACTCCACTTTCATGTAGGTGTCTAAATAAGGATTTGAGCACCCAGGTTTGCAAAATTTGGCCATATGGACCTAAGTCTGATCGCCCTTCCACCAGTGCAAATGGGGGAATAACGCTACTGAAGCCAAAGGAAAAGTGGGGGTCAGAATAAGCATTATAGAGCCAGCCTGGGTCAGAAGGAGGAGGGTGTGATGGGTTGGACCCCCTTATAGGATGCCACCTGATGTATTGGGATTTCAATGAATCTGCCTGCTCCACTTGCCTGGGCTCCCTCTCCCTTTTTTTGCTGAATTAGGCTCTCCAGCCTCTGGCAGCGCACACATACAGGTAGGTACGCACCAACTGTAGAATCACACAGAGTCTGCAAACAGTTCTCTACGAGAAGACTCATCTAGGAAATCACCCACCACTCAAGTGCAGCTTGCTTCTGGAAAGTACACCCACAATAATATTGTCTTGCGCTGTAGAGAAATCTATACAACGTAAGCTCATAAATTCGCCCCTTCCCTCAATGTGGAGGAAGATATGCACAACTTCTTGCCCCGCAGTTAGCAATTGCACAAACTGGATTTAATAATAAACAGAAACAGGATTATTAACTATAAAAGGCAGATTTTAAATGCTTATAAGGATAGCAAACAGAACAAAGCAGATTATCAAGCAAATAAAACAAAACACGCATACTAAGCTTAAGATCTTAAAGGGACTGGTTTCAAGAAATAATTTCTCATCCTAAATGTTGTTTTAGGCAAGTTGCAGAGTTTCTGTAGCTTAGACTTCCAGATATTTCTCTTTATAGCCTAGACTCCTGTCTTAGTCTGGACACAGCCCTTGCCTTTCCCACTGCTCAGGTCCTTTGTTTCTTCAGGTACTTTCAGCAGGCTTTCTTCATAGGTAAGAAGGCAATGGAAGGAGGGTTAGCTCTGTGGTTTGAGCATTGGCCTGTTAAACCAAGGATTGTGAGTTCAATCCTTGAGGGGGCCATTTAGGGAGCTGGGGCAAAAATCTGTCTGGGGATTAGTCCTGCTTTGAGCAGGGGGTTGGACTAGATGACCTCCTGAGGTCCCTTCTAACCCTGATATTCTAAGAATCCTGTTTGCCTTACTCCCCAGCCTTAAATAAGATTTACATAGGGCAGGAATCTTTTGTTGCCCAGTCTTGACCTCCCCCTCCTTTATAGTGGAAAATTACTAGAAGTCCAAGATGGAGTTTAGTACTAGGTGGCAGGACCATTTGACCTAGTAGTGTCACAGCTATGTCCCAGGACGCTTCTCAGGAAGGAGAGAGATTAGTATCTTCAAAGTCTTATTGTTTCTTCCTCATGGCCCATCAAGGCTGTTGGTTGGTTGTCTGGTGGGTGTCTCCCAAATACACACATAGTTGTCATTGTTACATAGTCAATATTCCTAACTTTAGATTCAGAAATGATACAGGCACACAAATTGGATAATCACATTCAGTAAATTATAACCTTTCTGATGATACAAAAGATCCATCTTGCATAAAATATATCTCAGTTATGCCATATCCATATCATAACCATATTTCCATAAAGAATATGGGGTGTGACGTCACAGAGGGATAATTATTTGTTTCTTCGGC